CCTGACTGTGTCTCCAAATTCATCATCGTAGACAACTCTAGATGCCATTCCTCTTCTAAAATAAGGCGCCTCTTTTCTGGTAGTTTTCCCTGTAGAACCGGCCTCTCCATTGGGCGACAAATGTTTGTATTGAAGTAATCCAACATCGACTTCTTGTCCAGGAGCAAAAGCAGGTTGAACACCCCAATCTCTTCCAACCAGATGTAAAGTATCAGGACCACTATATGCCAAAACACTTGCGTAGAAAACGGCCAATGGTAAACGTGGGTATGTACAAATAAGATATTCGGAGACGTGGTAATTTAGGAGGTCGCCTCCAATACGAGAGAGTCCTGCATTATTGAAAGCTGGGTTGTTATTCGCGGAGGGTGTAATGAGGGTTCGAGCGAGTGTTTGGAGGGGTAATTTGGAGGGGAGAGAAAGACGGGCGTGGAGAGCTGCTACTTTCGCGGAGGTTTTTTTGGGGGAGGGTTGCTGGATTGGTGGTTCGAGAGATTGTTCGCCATCTTCAAAAACGATCTCTTCTGATTTGGGAGCAAGTGTAGATGTTGAATTCATACGGACATATGCAGGTATCGAAGTCGTCCTTGGGAGAAGATTTTGTGCTAGAGCATGCCGCCTCGGACAAGTAGAAACTGATCTAGTATTTTGAGAAAGCAATTGGTTGCTCCATCTTTCCAAATGTAACCTCTTCATCATTTCTCCTATATTCCCCTTTCCAACACTTCCAATTCGAGTGTAGGAATTATGATCGAGTAATTGTGGCGGATAGAAATTGGACCGGCGATTTCGATAACAAATTCCAAAATTTCTCGCCCAAGCTCGTGTGTGATGCTATATTAATTGCACTAGTACCTTTGCGGTTAGTGGGGACTGGATATCTGAGGAACGAGGAACGACATCGTCAAAATTGACCAGAATCAAATACCTTAAGAAATCCCTCGCACATTTCGCAATTGATTAAAAATGGTGTGTTCCTTCTTCCCTTCTACACGCAGGCATGTCTGCCAGGAAATACTAACAAATATCCCAGGGCGGCGGCGGCAAAATTCCGTAAGTTCTTCAGTTCCACCAAACTTCAACCGACCTTCAAATTAGCAAGTCCGCCCAAGCACATTATCTGACAACATGACGTTAGATATCCCAAACATGTCTGGTCTCCAGCTGGAGGTTGGTACTCGCAACCTGGTAACTGGAAAGCGAATACTGCGATCATGGCAACTGTCATTGTCGGGATTACTGCTGGAATGTGGAAATTGAGTGCGGAGAGAGAGTATAGGACGAAGTTCCCGGAGGAGGGAAGGTTTTTCCCAAGTCGATAGTGAGTTTGGTTTATATTTTCTATTACAAATGGGAGTCTAGAGAATACTGGGGAACGCCGGAGGAATCAAGGACGGGGCTCAGGGCTGCAAGATATTGGAAGCCTGGCAGTGACTGACAAGATTATAGCTGGAGTAAACAAATCAAGGAGCACGAGGCACAGAAGAACAAGAGCATTACCGATCGTGTGGTGGAGAAGGTCACTGGAAACTAAATTCGAGAATGAGGAAAGAATTGTACATATTTGGGTCGTCATACAATGAATAGGCAACTTCGAGAACAATGATTGCACTCCTTATCACATTGGAGTTTGATGTGTTCTGTGACATGACATTCTGGGCAGATTCGGAAAGGAAAGGGAAAGCTACGTTGTCAGATCGAACGGCAACTAGTCTGTGTTATTGGTTTGATATTGTCTATGATTGTACGAATGCTTCTATCTTGAAGAATGATTACTGCGGTTAGTACTCGAGGTAGGACATATTTGAGGATAGTATCTTTTTGCACCGAAATGCCCTCTGCAATCGTGTAGCGCAGCTTATTCATAGAATAGTTCAATCGGTTCACGCTGCTATTTCACAATTCACACCATGGTTTACTCCTCATTTTCAATGCATGTTCATTCTTTTTCCACTTCCTGGGTCGAGATTATCCAATAGTTTAATATGTGTTGATTTTTCACTCAAGCTCCACTTCTATGGAAGTGTATGGTGATCAGTCCAGTCATATCTCAGGCTATTATTTGGAAGTGAGTTGTACAGTGAGAGTTCATTGTATCAACACAGTTCACGCAATCGCATTTCAATGTTTGAAGACAGATTTTCCATGAAGGATTGCAATCAAATTGTCTGCATGCCCTTCAGTATAATGTGCGTTAAAGTGTTCTTCGGTGAAATCACTTCTTAGTTCTTAGCTTGAGATATTCATCACTAATCTCGGGGGTCTCTCAAGTTATTGAGTTATTGAATTTGTGATGGTCGGTCAATGGAGATGCTCTACTCGTGAAGTCCCAGCTAAACAGACTGGAGCCGAGTGCTTCTAATCTATACCCTCGCTTCTTCGAGACCTCATGGATTGAATATTAATTCCGATATTGTCATCTGGTATTGTTTCTGCTCAATGAGGGTGTTGAACAACGGTGGTAATCATATGATCTCGGCGAAATTTGCAACACATTGAGTCCGGGATAGTAATTTTTGAAGGGGCAATTCCTATCATTCATTCCTTCATACTCAATGACCCCAGGAAGCGTCCTCCTTGGTGAATCTTGACTGGCTGTGTCAATGATGAAGTAAATGGTCTAATTGGGTGCCGTGCAAAATTTTTCCTGGCAGATCTGTATCACTAATCCACTTCTCTGGATGGAGAACGAACGTGTTGACAAAGTTGCATAAATTCGAAGGACATAGTTGATTGGCTCCAAGAAGCTCGCTATTCGGCAGTTATTGACTATATGGTGGTATGCTAGGAACTTTCAAAGGAGTGATAGGCACTCTCATACTGCGGTTCATCATAGAAAGATAGTTGATTCGACTTGCTAGTAGGACGAAATCTTCAAATTTTTACCCTGGGTCTGAAGGGTATATAAGTGCAGTAAATCCATCACTTCCGAAATGTTACAACCTGAAAGAACTCAAATTATATGATGAGACCATTCATGAGTTCCTCGTGATGCAAGCAATTCTGCCTGGTAGGTTCTCTTTTTTTTTTTATACATGTATGAGCGTTGTGTGTATATCTGAGCTAATATCGTCAGAATTTCGACAGCATGTATTCTCAATATTGCCACGCAATAAGTTCAATGGTCGACTTTCCTCGATGGTTTTCTATCCATTCACGTATAAAACCTTCGCAGGTTTTATCTCATTCTTTAATAGTTTGAAACCTATTTCGAGAGCATGGCATGTCTATTCCATCTATGAATCTTTTATCCACCTCACTTTTTGCTCTATGCTATTAGAATCTAAGTTCTAATCTCTCTTTTATAGACTGCGGAAGAATTAAATTACATTTAAGATTTCCTGGCTGTGTAGTTTGAGGATCACCAATTGCACGAGTGGCTAATGGTAGACTGAATACACAATTATTTGGCCTTGCCCCTCAGTATTGGCGTGGACCGAATTCACTTCCAATTTTCATTGGTATATATAGTTGTCATGGTCACACATTATGAACTGTAAGAACGAGCTCTCGAAAGCGACTTCTCGCAGAGGACTACAGGTTTGCCAGTTGAGTGAATGCATGAAGTGGGACAAAAACATGTTCATCTGTCAAAGATATCTCTTCAATTTCGACATGTGGGTAGTAAACTCAAAAAGAATTAGAAATTGGGTGACAATAACCCAGCATAGCTTTTTCTGGCAACGAAAAAAAAAAGATGATTCAATTTTGTGTTATCCATCAAGAAGATGTTTCCAAGTCAGCAGGCCGAACTATCAAGCCAACTTATGCCCTCTAATTGCGACGAGCGACCAAAAGGCAACTGACCACATTTCTCCCAATACGCATCACTCTTTGAGGAATACTAGAACGTTCTTCTCTTTTATTGAGTGTGGTCATGAGAAGCTCAGGCTTTATACTAGATTCAAGCTTCAAAAGAATTGATTAGCTTCGCGCTAATGCTCCACACAAGTTTTGGCCCGGGAGAAGTGAATATTCCACCCTGACTGCACCTCCAACTGCGGGATATTCTCGAGGTTGGAGATATATAAAGGCCTTGAGTCTCACCATCAGAATGTAATCAGAATGTAATAATCAATGAAGAGTCTCTGAAGGAATCCTCGACGTACCAGGGGCAAGTGTCTTCATATCCACCATCGTCGATTCCCAACAATATAAAACATGGCGTAGCAGAAGGGTAGGAGTGAGATATTTCTCAATGGTGCCCTTCGACTGCTCACTGTCAATGAACAAAGTGTTCGAGTGTCTTTGTTGTCATTTGTGTCTTCTATCTTATATAATATCGCATGGCACGAAAGTTGTTTTCATCCCACAGTATTATAAAATGATGGAGATCTCAATTCTTGACCACTAGTTGGAGCCAAGCTTTTTAACATGCCGTGGTCCTCATGGATTTTTAACCACCAGTTAGAATTCAGATCATGCACACGCTCTGTTCCCACAGATTGGTTGACTTTCATAGAAAACGGAATATCGCACTCTTTTACCTTTTTGGATGAAAAATTCCGTTCCTAACTTCTAAGTACAATCGAAGTTTATCCACAGACCTATATATGTGCTCATTGGTACATCTATCACTTTAGATAATCCGAATCTCGCGTATGCAGATTCTATATCGCTGCTTTAAAGCACAAGTCAGTCATTCTCTGTGACTAACGCAATGACCTCCATATCTACCACTCACTCTTATCCTTGTAAGCAGTCACGAAGAATACATTATTAGCACTCACAAATAAAACAGTCACACAATCACACACAAGGAAATCAGCAATGCACAATCAAACAAACCACAAGATATTTCCATTTATCAGCTGATAAAAGTGCATCTACCGCAGTTTCAAAATCACGCTTCCTCCATTTCCTCTCGTCCCGTTCCCTCGCATTCCAACTTCCATTAATCTCAATGACCCCGAGGGAAGTTCTTCAAAATCCAATAGCCCATACCACGATACCACCAAATCATCAAATCACCAAACCATCTCAAACCCCCTCTATCCCCCCTAATCCAAAAATGGCCTAAGATTATATTTGTGTATAGCAGCTTCAGCTCCATCCCAATCAGTAGCTACCTGAAAACCTAGAGTATCCTTCAAAACCTTGCGTGCCCGTATCTTAAGACTCTCTTCTTGTTCTTCGAACCAGTCTGCAGTCAGGATTGGCATAAAATTTTCGTAGATGGTGAGAAGTGGTGGGGTGAGCTCGGGTCTACATTCGTCAATTTTGCGAAATTTCGCGGTGACCCTTGCTGTACGTACGACTTCTGATTCGAGTTCGCTGATCGTATCATTGAGCGCTTCGGATAAAGTTTTGGGGGGGGGGGAGGTGGAGGCGGTGGCAGTAGAGGTGGAGGTAGAGGGGGTGGAGTGGGCTCGTTGGTTGTTATGGGACATGATGCTTGAAGGTGTGAATTTCGATGTATTTTAGTATGTTGAGTATTGATGCGTTGAGTTTAATATATCTTAAGTATTGTTATGTTGGCGTGTCGATGTGCAAATCAAAAATCAAAAAGAAAAAAAGAGCGAATCCACGAGACTAAGTAAATCCGGCTCGCCTACAAGAAACAAACCATTCATCGAGGAAATCTCGATCTGGAGTCACATCTCCAAATGAGTCTTGACGATATCACTATTCATTCCATTCGCTGAATGAGTTTCAAAGAGCCACGTGATATTTGTCATTTGAATAGAATGCGTGCTTTGCATACAGAGTCTGGAACTTATGATTGTAATCTCTATAGAAGGTAGAAAATACGCACAGAGTTTTGAAACTCAGAAGCAAAGGAGCGCACTCGGAAGCGAGAGAGCTCTATCCGCGCACCCCTTTCCCTCTTTATGTATAATTTCTTCAATGCTTTCGATCATATAAATTTCAATCATATCATCCCGAACTTTAATTATCAAAATCACTACACAATGTATAGCCATCTTGCTTAAGCTTGAATCTCTCCCACTTTCCACTCCCAGTCTCCCTCAGCACGTTCAAACCACTCAACCACCAACAACCAACTAAACCTTTAACCCATTAAAGGCGTTCAAACCATCTATACCATCTAACCCACTTCACTCAACCACCCTCCCCCAAATTCAAACCTCACTTCACCTAATACCCTCCACCTAAACCCTCCACCTGTATATATAGTATAGTTGTAAAGCTTATAACTTCTATTGTATCCGCTTATGGTAATAATAAGGAAAGTTACTTAAATTTAATTGAGTTTTATAAAAAATATATTCTTATAAATAATTAAATTTGAATATTAAATTAATAAAATTAAAGAAAATAAAAAGAAAAATAAAAAGAAAATGAAAGAAATGAAAAGAAATAAAAAGAAATGAAAAGAAATGAAAAGAAATCAAATCAAAATATTCTATATACTAATATATAATTAATTAATAAAATTAATAAGTTAATAATATAAAAAAAATAGAAAATATAAAATAGAGAAAAAAAATAGAAAATAGAAACAGAAAATAGAAAAATAGAAAAAAAATAAGAAATCAAAAAATCTAATTTTATTTTTAATTTCTTATTCTAATTTTTTAAATACTAAATTATAAAAAGATATTAATAAAAAGAATTAAAAAGAAAATTTTGATTTCTAATAATTAATAAATAAAAAATTCAAAAATTACTTTAAAAAATTATAGAAATAAGATATACTTTTTTTTTAAAAAAATATATAAACAATTGAAAAATTAAATATTAAAATTCAAAAACTGATTTTTTCTTCATAAAAAGATTATCAGATTTTTGAAAATAATTAAATTCAGAATTCAAAATTCAATTAGTTTTTTTTTAAAAAAAATCTTTCTAACTTTAGTTTATAATAAGATTAAAAAGAAAAAAAATTCAATTATATTTTTTAAATTCAAAAAAATTAATTAATAATAATAAAAGAAAGAATTTTTTTTTCCTTTTTTTTGAGAAGCATAAAGAAATAAAAAAAAATGAATTTGAAAATATAATATTTAATATTTAATATTTGCTTTTCCAATTTTCGATTTTCGATTTATTCGTTTACTTAGCCATTGGCCTCATTGACCAACCGTACAACAATCAATCAATCACTCAGATCTAGAGCAAGATCAAGATCAATTACTCAGCTCCTCATTATCTCATTTCCATATATTCCCTACAGAAATTCCATTCCATTCCATTCCATCCACATCCCTGATTCCTTTTTTCCCAAACTCTAGATTTTATAAACCAAATCTCCCTCAGTATACATGATATCATTTCGCTCATCCATTGCTCTCAGCGCGGCTACTGCTTCCTCCCTCTCAAAACTACCTCCTGCACCACCTCCAATACGTCGATTGACCGCCTCGATAATAGCATTGACCTCGGCACTATCATCTTCAAACAGAGATGTATTCATCATTTGACCCATCGTCGTGCGGAAGACTTGTAGACGGTTAGGTGTAATACCTGTCGAGACATTCAGAGCTGCAGTTCCAGCTGCAAGTTCCTCTTCTTCATCACCCTCCTCTACATTCTGTGATTGAGACTGCGATTGACTCGAAGTACCTCTCAATGCCTGAGAAGCCGGTAAGGAAGAAGCGAAAGAAGTTTGGGATTGTGTTGGTACGCGACTTGAGGATGCTCTTGCTGGACGACGTGCTGGACTGGCTGAATATAGATCATCCTCCTCCTCATCATTTGGCGCCCCGCTTGGAGTGGCACCATTTCTTCGAGATGAAGAAGTGCCTGAAACTCTCGTTCTTGCAGTACCTGGTGTACGAGTTGCTCTCGTCGATGGTGCATGAGAGGTAGGAGCTGGTGAATCATCATCATTCGAGGATGAACTCTCGTTTCCAGAAGATTCGTCTTCAAGAGGTCTAGTCTTTCTTCTCTTTGATTTCTTTTCATCCTCAAGCACTTCCTTGAACAGTGCAAACCTCAAAATACTCTCAGCAGCCAATGCATCTACCTCCTCAACTCTATTACTTAATCTAGACTTTGCATGCGCGGTACTCAAACGGATGATGGTTTCCAATGTTCTAACTGTCATGGCGTTTGTCTTTCGTTGATTTCCTTGCATGTCGTCATTTCTCAGCGCTACATATATCTCGCTAATTCTATCACTAGCTTCTTGGGTTAAGACTGGCTTTACTCGAGTTTTGGCGTATTGAATGTATTTCTTCATGAAAGGTATGCTGAGAACTTCGACCCTGCGATGTGATCCTCGGCCAGTAGTAACAGTCACACCGGCGTGTAACATCTCGTTATATTTTTCGTAAACAGGTGTTACCTGGTTGGCATCTGCTTCTTGTTCAACACCTACACCGAGTGTTTGATGTGCTTGTTCACGAACGGGGGCTCCTTCTTCGGTCTGTGGATCTCTATATCTGTGCATTCTTAGAACGTGTTCAGATATTTGTCGATCCCTGAAATCATCAATATCATCTGTTACTACGAATAATAAATCGAAACGAGACAGGAGAGAATCTGGAAGAGCAATATTCTTGTGAGGGTCTTTGTGAGTGTCGTATTGACCGAAGATAGGATTGGCGGCTGCGATGACGGAACAGCGAGCGTTGAGAGAGGTATGAATACCAGCTTTGGCAATAGTGACAGTTTGTTGTTCCATAACTTCGTGAATGGCAACTCTATCTATGTCGGACATTTTGTCGAATTCATCAATACATACCACACCGCGATCAGCCAAAACCATAGCACCAGCTTCGAGACGACGTTCACCGGTTTCCTTATCGGAAGTAACGGCGGCCGTGAGACCAACACCGGAAGAACCTCGACCTGTTGTCGCAATTGCGAGTGGGGCGGTATTGAGCACGAAACGAAGAACTTGAGATTTGGCTGTGGATGGATCACCAACCATAAGGATATTGATATCTCCTCTCAAATGCGTTCCGTTCTCGAGATTCTTTTCCAGACCACCCAATAACATGAGAAGAATAGCTTTCTTGATGTGTTCGTGCCCATAGATACTTGGTGCTAATGACTGAGAAAGAAGATTGAAAAGATTCTTCTTCTTTGCAATTTTGTTGATGTTTCGAATGTCGGTATCGGTAATGGTATGTGTCGCAATGCCTCCTCCCGATTTCGAAGATAAAAGAACCACATTATTAGCTAACACCACCGTCTTAAAAAGCGCACTGCTATGCCCCGCATTTCTATTTCCTAAACTCCTGTAAATTCCAACAAGCTGTACTCGATCACCAGGTTTAACTTTATCAACCAAATCATCATCTAAAATAACATCCACACCTCTTGGAAGTTGTCCTGCCGGTGCTCGTTCCGGCATTTCTTGAATAGATATCGTTTGGTGATCTCTGTATGTGCTGTATCCATATTCCGTAACCAGCGGATTTCCCTGTTCATCTTCCTGTGGATAAACACTCGACGTACTGGCTCCACTAGCAGTCATTGTTTGATCCTTGTATTCACGGAAATGGAATATCTTCTTCTTCTCATTGTAATGCACACTCTTGACCACCTTTGGCCTCACTAATGAACATCTTGTGACAATCCCTTCCAAACTAACCATCCTATTCAAGTGCGTACTCGATAACGTTCTGGGATTGCATGCAAATTGGCCAAAACTACCAGAAAAGGCACAATAGTACATAGTATCTTCAGAAGATTGTTTAGCATTGGTATTTGGAAGTGTTTGTACGATTTGAAATAGTGCGCGATCGAAGGCTTGGGCAAAATCAAATGGTTGTTCGAGGAGGCCATTTGCCAATTCAGGATTATGTGCACGAACTTCATCGATACTGACGATCAAACGTCGTTGATGCTTTCGAAGCATATCAGTAATTTCGGATCGATAACTTCTTGCGGCGCCATCAGCTGTGATTATTTATATTAGTACTTGTAGGTAAATAGAGGGGATTGACAGGAAAAAATACTTGGATCAAGAAATTCTTGTGCAGACCGCACACGATCGGCGACAGCCTCATCTCTTAATTGTGCGCCGTCCATGTTAGAGAGTATATCAGGTTATGTACAGGCGTGGTTTTAAGGTTTAACCTGAAAATATGTATGGTGGTTTGTTGTTGAAGTTAAAGAGGGGCGGTATGGGTTGCTGTGGTGTTGACAATCGCGAAATTTCAATTCAAAAGGAGATATCGCGTGGAAACACGGTTGTGCGCGTAAAGTGGTTTTTGGTATCACGTGGTTGCTTCCCTTGCTTCCTCATCTTGTACCGACAGATTAACGAGACGTAACTATACAGAACCCTAATCTTCTGGTTTCAAACATCACATTTAAATCTCACCATGCCATTGCAAACAACAAAAGACTCCCCCCAGAAAATCAGATCAG